CTATGTGCAGGAAGTGCTTCTGTTCTGTAATGTGGATAACACACACATTCATAGACTCTGTCACAGTATTATTTATGAGGGGGAAAAGGGTAAATAAAATGTTTTCTGGGCTGTCTATACCGTTGAAAAAACACCTAAAGTAAATGCCCTAAGTCAGTAAATATCTGTTTCTGTGGCCTCTTGACAAAAGATAAAAACAGTATTAAGAAAAATTCTTAAGAAGTTCTCAGGCTGAAGAATGATTTGTGGCTTGCACGTTTGGCCCACGGGAGCTGGTTCTAGGGAAGAGAACAGCAACTGCTTAACTCTATGCCTCACCCCGCCCATCTCAGTACAAATGTCATCTCTCTCTCAAGACCTACTTCAGAGTTTAGGTCCACCTCTTCCATAAGCCTCCTCCACCCCAACATCTCCCTAGGGGTCTCCTGGGAGTGAGCTCCCAGCACTCTCTGAGCCTCTCTTGGGAGGTTTTACTTTTTCTGTTTTTGCATCACAGGTATTTACACATCTTTTAACTCCACTATATTAGACTCCAATTTCCTTGAAAGTAGGAACCAAGCTTCATCATCCTTACTTCTTAAACACTAAAAAAAGTACCTAATTACAGAAGCCTTGAGGTATTTGTTGAATAATGGTCCAAATTAACTGTTTCTCATTAAAAAGAATTACAGTACTGCTTTCAAAGCATGAATATATACGTCACATTTCTGAAGGATTTCAACCCACATTCCCACAAAACATTTACAACACTGACACTTAAAAGGCACATAGTATCCGGAAATCCCAGGATACCACAACTCACTTCCCAGGGAGTCTAAAAGTTCAGGTTTTTCACTATACTCACAGTTCAAAGATATGTATCGACTTTCGCTAATGTTAAAAAGATGCTCATTTTAAGTCTGGCAGAGGGGGAAGCAGCAAAGTTTTTGACTCTTTTTAAAAGATGAACAAATACCTCTTGGGTTTCAGGAGCAACCTGGGCATCAGTAATCTCATCTAATTCATCTTCAGCCACAAAGTCTTCCTGCTCTCGCAGCCCTTGCTGCCCACCATAAGCCTGTAAGTATTCTTTATCCTAACAGCCATTAGAGAAACAAGTTTTTCTCATACAGCTTTGGGGTGGTTTTTAAGCACCTTCCGTCTTATGATTCATGCTGACTAACTGTAGAAAATGCTACTATGCTGATTAGCTGACTGAGCACAAAGCACGAGGCCCAGAAACAGAAGGGTACCTCGTCTGTGTGTTCATGCAAACAAAGCACGCCATGCTGTCCTGGCCAACAGGGCAAGTGTTGTGGGCTCTGCGTCAAACTCCAAATGCCCTGTCACACAGCTCTGCAAATCAACAGCAAGGAGGAACCACCTTCAGAAGAAATGGTGTGTGTGCCCTCACTAGGAGCTCAGCAGCAGGAAGGGGCTGAAATCATGCCCAACTCTCACTACTTTGGTGACAATGTAAGACAACAAAAGTGTCAGCAATTAAACACAGGAGCTTTTAAAAACCACATTTAGTGTGTTTCTCCATTAGCCCCCTTTCTCGAATGAGAGGAAGATTCCAGGTCTTGTAAGAAACTAAAGAGGCATACTAGCAAGCAAGCACCCCATCTACGTAGGTGGAAGAAAGCAGGCAAGCTGGCTGCAGACGACCACAACTGTAGGGAAGAATGAAGGGTTGCTGGTATTGCTAACAAGTGACAATATCTGATCCTACTCAGTGGAGGCAGACTTCCCAGGGTCCTAGCCTGCTTGCTAAAAATGAACAGTAAAATGGCTCCAAGGCAGATAATCCCAAACAGTGAACAACCTAAAGAAATGTAACAAGCTACTTGTATGGCACATGACAGGCTCATCTAGAACCCCCAAAGAAAGCAGATGTATTAAGGTAACAAACCACCTTAGTTCCCACAAGTGTCTCAAGACAATCTGAACACAATACATGTTATTTTCCGGAAAAAACTGTTAGCATCCCATCAAAATAACTATCATTACCCATGAATCACTGGCAGTAGGACATTCAGATTTCAAATAAAGCCAAATAAATGATGCTAATCAAAATCTTTAGCCAGTGTACAATGGAGTCCACTCCTGGATTCTCACTGGAAAACAAAAATCTGCTATCCTTGACAAAAATGTCAACCTGAAATTGTTTTTATAGAACAATAAAATCTCAATCTACGTTAATTTTAAAGGCCTTAAATAAACTGATTGCACTTAAAGGTAGAAGTCACTCAACAATTTTCTAATATTTTGTTGACTAAACCAATATGCACTCCTTACTAATACAAGAGTCCACATTTTAAAATGAATTACAGCTCACTCTTAAGAACAGCATCAGCAAAAGTCACAGGAAGGAACAGCAGAGCTGTGCATCCAGCTTTGTTGATCTTTGGACCTCCCCTTCTTTACAGGGAACAGCAAACCTTCCCACTGTACCTTCTGCAGTTTCCTGACTCTATTCCCAGTTATGCACCAGAACCCCTCCATGAGGCTTTACGGGTAAGTTCCAACAGATACGCATTTCAGAGTTCAAGTCTGGCTTTCGAGTGGGGGGGTTCATCAACCCAAGGGAGTACAAGCCATTTAATAAATTAAAATGCCACTGGGATATACAGAGGCACAATCTACTCGTGTTCATTAGTCTAATGGTGAATAAATCATCTGGGCTTCAGTGGTAGCCTCAGAAGGCAGAGAGGAGCTCCCACCGCCAAGCAAGGTAAGAGTACTTCACACTTTAATTCTGTGTATCTCCTCCTGTCCAAGGAAGTGGCCATTTCAGACCATTCGGATGTTACCATTGGAATCATCACAAAACAAGAAAGAATGACCATGCCTAGAATACTACATGTATTGATGAACTGATAGTGCTCACAGAAAGACATTTAACTACGATTGCTTATCTTTAAACTTTACAACTCTGTGTGAAAACATCAGGACACTTTCAGAATTTCTAAGTAATTTTTTTTTTTTACTTTAAGACTTTAATTCTGAAAAAAAATTCATGTTCGTGAAAGAATACTATTATTATTAAATTGCAGTATTTTCTTCTGAATCTTAGACCACAAGATGTTGGATCATTAAGTTGGATTGTTACAACGGGGGCCTATGTGTAACCTCAAGTTTGACAGAATACAAGAGGGAAATTCCTCACTTAGAAATTCTCTTTATAACAAACTCTGCAAGAACACCAAAGTGAAAGAGACGTCCTATGTGGCTGTACACACACGCTCTCATCTGTGCCACCTGGGACTGAGTTCACAGGCAGGGCCAATGCTCCTGTGGCCGTTTAGCAGTATTTGTGTCCGCAGTGCACAGACATCAGTAAAGACTTGTTGGACTGCTGCATTTACAGGAGGTAGGATCCCAGGATGATTAGCCAATCATCTTATTTTACTGATGACTAACAGAAATAATAAAGTACTCTAACTAGATAATAAGTAGGCACAATTCAAAAAAATCTTGGTTTAATTTTCAAAAGGCATTTTAAATTACAGTGTCTCATTTTAAGAGCATACAAAAACACCAGTAAACCAGAAGGCACCTGCCTACACTTAGTGAAGGATTATCAAAACAAATTATTACAGGGTTATGGAAATAACACATCCCCATGATGCCTTTGGCATGATTCTATTTATCAAAACTATAAATATTTCTCATTACTGTATCTACTAAAGAACAAGCACCAACTAAAAATATTTTAAGATTATTGGGGGCTGGGCACAATGGCCCATACCTGTAATCCCAGCACTTTGGGAGGCCGAGGCAGGCAGATCACCTGAAGTCAGGAGTTCAAGACCAGCCTGGCCAACATGGTAAAACTCCATCTCTACTAAAAATACAAAAATTAGCTGGGCGTGGCGGTGAGCACCTGTAATCCCAGCTACTCGGGAGGCTGAGGCAGGAGAATTGTTTGAACCCAGGAGGTAGATGTTGCAATGAGTGGAGATTGCGCCACTGCACTCCAGCCTAAGTGACAGAGTGACACTCTATCTCAAAAAAAAAAAAAGAAAAAGAACTCCCGAGACACCTAAACACAATCATGACTACAATTAAATAATCTAAGCTTCCATATAAACAATCTTTTTCAAAATTACTCATACATTTGACCAAAATTCAGCAACTTCTAAACTTTTTTCTGAAACAAAAGCTTACTCTGAATGAAGACATAAATACAGAAAAGCAGAGCTACTCCCACTGCAAATGGGCTCTTTAAGGTCCCAATTTTGCATACTTCTGTCCCCATGTCAACAGCCCCGTTCACTTGGCCCCCATGGTGTTCTCTACAGCTACTGAGAGCACATCCTTCCCTCATAAATTTCATTACATGCTTATTGTAAAAACAAACCTCTTTTGATTATGAGTCATTAAGAGATGAGAATCTTACACTAGTACATTTTTTTCTTTTTGGTTCAACTTTAAAAAAAAAAAAAAAACTACCAAAATCATCTTTCTGAAATAAAAAATCAGCACAATCTTGCTTTCTGATTATAGATAACAAATTATATGTGACATTTCCTAAACTAACCTCCAATCTCTTTATTCTCGTTTAGACAGTTCTCAGTTACTAGAAGGATGAATGAACAGAACATCAATCACTCCGCAATATTAGCACCTTAAAGATGTCTTTAGCAGGTCAATAATCTTTTCACCTTAGAAGGACTTTATCAGATCTTGTCTAAAGCCTGGATAAAAGCTCTGCATTAAGTACTTTTAACAATTGACAGTGTATCCCCACCACACAAAGCTGTTTTCTTCCTTAGGGTACAATCCTCAAGGTCACGATTCTTTGCAGCCTTCCAGAATGACAAAGGAGCATTACCTCTGGCCAAACAAGCTGTCAACACAAACTTTGTCATAGCTCAGATAAAGAAACTGGCAGACAGTGATAATAAGGTCTAATTTCCCTTCCCTCCCAAGGGAGGTAAACAGATTTCAAATCAGTCTAGAAGCCTATGCATGGGAAGCCAGGTTATCTTTGGCCATACAAAGGAGAAAAGACTCACTGTAAATTCATCTAAAGGTTCATTGATTTCGATGTCTAACACTTCATCAGTGTAAAGTTGCTCCTCCTCTGGCTCTTCCACGTATTCTATTTGGTCTTCTGTCAACTCAGCTTCGTGGCCTTCATACTGTCCTTCTTCTGTGTACTCTTGAGTATACAATTCTGATCCATCAGATTTGTGATAAACCAGTTCATCCTCTCCTTGTTCTTGTTCATACTCAGATTCCTGTTCTCCAGATTGGTCGTTAGTGTTGTCAGACAGTTCAAATGATGTAACCATGCCAGATGTAGCATTCAGACTAATTGTAACACCCTGAGAACTAGAGAGGACGAAAATACAAAAAAAGACACCCAATGAAGAGAGGAGCTCAAAACTAAATCATTATATAAATAGCTTTATATTTATATTTTATAAATAAAGATTTAAAGCATGACTGATAAAAAGTGATTCCAGTGACTGACCAATGCACATCACCTCCAACAGTGCTCAAAATGCTACACAAAGCCAGTGCCCTAAACCCTTAAAGCCTCCAGCAGATTTAACGGTGCTCTATGGAGGTGGCCACAGACTGGTAATGCATACAGTGCCTCTACTTATCATCAGCTGCAGGTCATTTGACCAAAAGCATTAAATCAACCACAGATGAAACACATGTAACTGGCAAAAGTCCAAGACTGAAATCAAATAGACTGTATTTCATTCTAATTTACAGAATGAAACAGAAACTGCTAAGATTTCAAAGTAAAATCAGGAGTATTATTCTATAAGCAGAAAATTGCAGTTGAAATTTTAAGAACAATTTTTCTTTCTTGCATCTATGATAGAAACTATAAACTCCTGTTTAGAAAATCAAAATATTAAAAATTTGTATGAAAATACACTTTGGTGTTCAAATAAATAAAATGTGTATCAGTCACAAATATCTTTAAAAATTGTTCATAATTTCCAAGTAAAATAACAAAGTTTTGAAAGTGCAAAAAAACATGTTCCACCTATTAAATCACAACAGTTAAATACCAAACAATAAGGTGCAAGATAACATTTCCCATACAAGATCGTGCAGATAAATCTATGTTCACACATAGTACCCAATCCTAACAAAAAATTAATATACCTCTTAGACCTCAAGACACTGTGGCTGAGAAACTTCAATGATGTATTCCTAAAAGGCAACCTAACTAACTCAAAGGTCAAAACAGATGACGTCAAATAATGGAACTGGGAAATTTATCTGACTGGTAGAATAATTTAAAACTCTATTTTTACCTGTAAAAATTACTTTATGTTAGAAAATCTATTACAAATCCATGGCTCAATAATAAATGGCACATATTTGTTAATTACATTTATAACCAAGCAGCTTGTCTACATTTTCCCGATGTTTCCTCATAATATTAAAAAATTATTCCACCTACCAGAGTGTCTCTCTCCTCTTATAATATAGTTTACCGTATGTCAACAACAGAGAGATATTCCTATCAGTCATCTAGAGTCTAAAGTACCATCTCCCAAAGTGTCCAAAATGGTAATTCAGTGAATGGTTATAAATTAACTGTCTATAATGAAAACAAAGGCAGCAACAACCAACTGCAACCGTGTCAAAGGCCACTGCCCTTGAGCCAAATAAAGTTAATTCTTTGAAAGAGCAGTATATATCCATATATATGGGCATACTAAATGCCCATAACCTGCACTAAACAGAACACGCAGAGGTCATTAAATGAAAGACCTACTGATTCTTTTTTTTTTTGAGATGGAGTTTCACTCTGTCGCCCAGGCTGGGTGCAGTGGCATGATCTGGGTTCACTGCAAGCTCTCCCTCTCAGGTTCAAGAAATTCAACTGCCTCATAGCCTCAGGAGTAGCTGAGACTACAGGCGTGTGCCACCACGGTTGGCTAATTTTTGCATTTTTAGTAGTGACAGTTTCACCATATTGGCCAGGCTGGTCTGGAACTCCTGACCTCAAGTGATCCGCCCCACCTCGGCCTCCCAAAGTGCTGGGACTATAGGCATGAGCCACCACACCTGGCAAAGACCTACTGATTTTAAACAGCTGCTCTGTTTACAGAACATCCACATGGCTTCCACTAATATTCCATTTAGAATGTAATCATGTGTTAAAGATATAAGGCATTATTCAATTACATTCCATTAGAATTATAAATAACAGTTCCTATAATTTAAAGAACATTTATAATGAGGTAATACTGAGTACCTGAAATTTTCTTCATCTTCATTATCACTCTGCAAAAGATCATCATTTAGCTCTTCATCTGACAAATCCGACTGATTCTAATTAAAATAAGAAATACAATTAATGTATGTCACTTCCATAAAAAGACTTGTTACAAAGTACAAAATTACACTGACTGAATTGTTTCTAGCCTTATATTAAAACGTCTGCCACCCAGAAGGCTTTCTGGTCACCAGTGGACAATCAAGAGATCCCACACAAGGCATGAGGATCCCTCCTCAGCTCATCTTCAGATGCCCAGGATAGTTAAATGTGAAAACACCAAGTAATAATCACATTTACTCTCACACAAAAGAGAAAAGGTAAGAGGTCCTCTGGGGGAGGCTTACAAACAAATAGTATTTCCTTATAATACCCAAAAAAGAGAAAAGGTAAGAGGTCCTCTGGGGGAGGCTTACAAACAAATAATATTTCCTTATAATACTCAAAAAAGAAAGATATCCTTAAGATACTACTAAATTTAACAAGTGAAAACCTAAAGATTTTTTAAACAACATAAAAAGTGTAATTTCAGAAACAAGTAGATTTTAAACAACTGAATCACTAAATTGAAGAGACTATAATAAAACTGATTTTCCAACACAGATCACACATGAAAATAAATGTCAGCAACTCAGTTCCCCACTCCTGTTCTTGATGGCACTCCTACCTATAAGCAGAGACAGCCCAGCTCTTTTGCCAAGAGTTCCAGGTTTTGTTAGGTTAAATATATTCCAGCATCTTAGATTAGGTTGGGGGGGGGGTGTTATTCATACTTTCACACTACTTATTCACACTTTCCTCCCTTTTTAAAATTACTAATATGTATAAATGATATATATAAATTACCACTCCCTTCAGAAAAGACAAAGTCACACACACACTGTCATACATGCATATTGATTCTTAAAAAAGAAACGAAAAAAATCAGCCTGGTTTTCTACTCCAAGATGAACAAACAAGCAGTCTTCTCCCGGTACTGACACCTTATAAAACTTATCCACATACTTTATTACAGTATTTCTGACAGTCGAAAACAATCTTACTAATACTTCTTAGTCGCACGGGACTCAACCTAATCACTGACACCACAATAAGATAAAAATAAAATCACACAGGCAACATAGTTTACTTGCATAAAGTAGAATGGCTACGTGTGATAACAAAACAGACTGCTTAACCAACAGAAAATGAATTTCTGGCCGAGCGAGGTAGCTCATGCCTGTAATCCCAGCATTGGGAGACCAAGGCAGGTGGAACACTTGAGGTCAGGAGTTCAAGACCAGCCTGGCCAACATGGTGAAACCCCAACTCTACTAAAAATACAAAAAATTAGCTGGTTGTGGTAAAGGCTGCCTGTAATCCCAACTACTCTGGAGGCTGAGGCAGGAGAATCGCTTAAACCCGGGAAGTGGAGGTTGCAGTGAGCCAATGCATGTCAAAAACAAGAAAACGAAGTTTCTGTTAGGTGACCATATAGCCAGTTCTGAGACTGAAACGAGATGCCATTACGAAGGTGAGAGCTATGAGCCAGGCCCACCACAGACAAACCTCAGTTTGGCTGCCCGACTCAGTAAATAAAACCTGAGGAAATCTTTAAAAATTAGTAATTCAATGGGAGACAAATTTCATTTGAGAGGCTGCTTCTCTGAGCTTTTCAGTTAAACTCTTAGTATCTGTCAAAAATCAACAGCCAAGAATGCCCCAAGCAAACAGAAAGAGAATGCATGCTGTGGTGGGCCCTCCTGGGAGCTGAATCTCCCTCTGAGGATTCAACCTTCCTCTCTGGCTTTCAAACCTACTAACAGACACAGGAGGCCATGAGCACAAGATCTGCTTAACTGAAAAAGCTGGAAGGGAGAGCTAGGCTACATCCTCCGGGCCAAAGCCGGTTTCAACACATCCTAAAGAACTGGAGGGAACCGTTTTCTCAGGCTCCAGAGGGTTCTGCTCAGGATGGTCTGCAGGAAAGCAGGGCCACAGATCCCAAGAGACGAAGGCAAAATAGCCACAGATGCTAGTGAAATCCTTTCTCCCACTCTTTCCAAACAGGTCATTTCTCCCATGGGGAGAGAAACATGTAGGGAAGAAAAATGGTTCCCTCCACTACTCCTAAGAACATAGAACCTTGGTGGAATAGCCGGAGTTTAAAAATGGGAAGAAAATGGTTCCCAAAACATTCTCCAACACAGGCATCTACGAAACGGAGCCATGCCAATGCATCAGGAGAATATCTGTTCAGCACTAGCTGATGAAGTAAAATACAAAGGCTAAAGGAAGAACTGCCAGCTGGCAGCCAACCTCCACCTCACTCCCACCCGATTTCTAAAAGCTCTAGCCCGGTCATATCGGCCTGCTTTATCCCAAATTTGAAACCTGAATTGTGTATTTAAAACTGAGCCCTAACAACCTCCCTTCTTGACACGAATGAACTTGTCCCTGACAGTGTGACCCATGTGCCGTCCTCGGTGCTACGCGCCCCGCTCGGGCCATCTGTGCCTCAGGGGTCCCTCCAGACAAAGGCTCATCACTGTGGGAGAAAGACGGCGGTCAGGCAGCCAGTGTACCCATCACTGTGAACTCCACTCACAGACCCTGCAGTAATTACCTCACTAGTAAATACGTGAAAAACATTCCATCATTCCACTCTCACTCGAAATCAAATAAATAAAAATTAAACCAACCAAAAAATAGTTTTCATCTATCACACTGACAAAGATTCTTTGTAAAATGTGGTATCAAACACCGTCACGGCAAGGTGAGGGCAATGCTTATTCACTGCTGCTAGGAACACAAGCAGATCAAACACTTCTGAAAAGCAGCTGGCAATACAAGACAAGAATCATGAAATATTTCCACCCTTAGGCCAGAATTCCTCTTTATAGAAACTTTCTAAGAAAACAATCCCAAAAGCATGGTAAGATTTGTTCATTAAAATATCATCATGATGTCTGAGATTCAGAAGATAGGGAGTAACTGGGTAAAGGGAAAGCAAAACAGCCTTGGACTGAAATGGCTGAGGCTGGGCGACTGGCAGAGTAAACTAGAGCACTCTCTCTTCTTTTACATATGCTTGAGATCTTCCGCAAAAAGGGTTTAAAAAAAAAATCATAAGCAATGAGCTGGAAACAACCTCGATGCACACAGGAGTGACTAGGTATACCGTAGAACATACAAACACTGATATATTATGTAGCCATTATAAAATATTTTAAATAACCCTAATGACAAGGGGGAAATGCCAATGACACAATGTTAAATTAAAAAGAGGTAACATTTTCTATCTATATTTCCTTTTTGTTTTTTTTTTTTTTTGACACCGAGTCTCACTCTGTCACCCAGGCTGGAGTGCAGTGGTGTGATCTTGGCTCACCGCAACCTCTACCTCCCAGGTTCAAGCGATTCTCCTGCCTCACCCTCCCAAGTAGTTGGGATTACAGGTACACGCCACCCTTCCTGGCTAATTTTTGAATTTTTAGTAGACAGGGGTTTCACCACGTTGGCCAGGCTGCTCAAACTCCTGACCTCAAGTGATCTGCCCACCTCGGCCTCCCAAAGTGCTGGGATTACAGGCATGAGCCACCATGCCCAGCCAATATTTCGATCATATTTAAAAACATATGGGAAAGGAATAAAAGACAGATGGCAAAACGTTAGTCATGACTGTTTACATCTATTTTTTTTCAGGCTTTCTTTGTTTATATATTTTGAACACCTTGATCACTATAAGGTACAATCCATTTATTTTATGTTAGGAAAGAATAGAGAAGAGGAAAGGAGAGAGACACATCTTCTGTCCCAATGTAAACACACTCCCGAAATGTCCACAGCAGATGCAGCCCCTCCACTGAGACAGCAGAATGCACTGTCACTCAGCATGCTCCAGTTCCCGCCCAACGTGAGCAATTTAGGACCATCAACTCAGCTAAAAAAGTAAGGTGACTTCCTCCAGAACAGTCAGCATTACTACCCAAACCAAATAGTATTTCTCCATCTTTATCGATAATAGTACTGACCAAAGCTTTTATGAGAGGAGGTCATGTGTATATCAAAAGGGAATTATTACAGCTTTCTGGAAAGACACGCAGGGCAAAGAGTGACATGAGGCTTGCCTACAGATAGAAATCCAACTTCACATCAAAGTATTTTACTTACATTTAAACCTTTTAACATCTAATTGTTATTCTTCATTAAAGTGTCTTAAATAAAAAAGTATCCACTTTAGGTACATAAGTACAAGTGAGAGCACCTCAAAGAGTGTGCGAAGTCATTCCCCGATACAGGATAAAAACAGTGGCCTTTTTTCCCCAATGACCAGGACCAAGAAGGATTGAGCAACCCGCTCACACTCCAGGTATCACACTACAACATGGACCAGCTACGACACTCTCTCACTAGGCTTTCATGTTCGATTTATATGGATGTATCTGCTACTTACTCCTATTACATCAGGTGGATTTACAACTAACCACACTAATTCTTAGTGTTAGAAAGGAGGGAAAGCGGGGGTAGGCCAAAGCCTGGCCACCTGCAGACTGATGGTGCAGCAGCAACAGAAAGCAGAATGCAAAAGAATTCTAAACTACATACGCATTAAAATGCTAATCATGCAATACCGAGTTACAAGAAAATGGCAAAGCTGGTACTTCTAGGAGACCGTATCTACATTACAAATGAGATTAAAAGGGAAATCTAATAGGATGTGATAAATCAGTCAAAAGACGTGAACTCAGCACACTATTTGAAATATAGGTGTATACTACTATTATTAATTTCAACCTGAAACTATAATACCTTGAGTGTAACTATTGGTAACAAACCATCACAATTTTATGACTTTTGAAAACTAAGCCTAAATAACTATCTTGATAATGAGAACAGAAAGTGTTTTTAAACTGTTAATTTTTTTAAAAGTAGCATTTCACTTTCTTGCTTTACAGTCCTACTTCTATGTATGTTTTATAATGTTGGAAATATACTGGCAGAGTATGTGCGTGTGCGTGTGTGCACGTGTGTGTGTATGTATATATACACAATATTTACAAAATTTTTTACTTCACCAAAAAGATTTAGAAAAACTACATTAGGTTTTTAGACTTTTAATCTTATTTATTTTAGTGTTTATCATATTTGAGTATGTTTACCTTTAAGCTTATTTCTAAATGCCCCCAAACAGTGAAATCCAGAACAAGTATTCAAAATATTAACCTCCAAATGTGACCTTCTGTTAGGGCAAGGAACAGTTTTATGTTAATGCTGTCACAATCTAGTACCTGCTACAGTGCCTTGGACAAAGTAGAAACTAATCTTCAAGGATTTATTTCTTGAGTTATAATTACCAGAGAACTTACTAATAAACAGTCAATTCTTTGTACACTTAGAAAATAACTCGGTTTACAAAATGTTAATCTGTACCCAACTTTCCAGTAATGAAACCCATGTATAAGTGATGTATTGCTATATTTTAAGTACAATTATGTGACTATTTCATTTCAGAAAGACATGTTTCTTACCTTTTTGCCAGACAGCAAATCCTCTCCAAGTAAATCATCTTCAAGTTCACTTGGGAGAAAGAAAAAAAAAAAGACGTGTCAATGATTATTCCCATAAGACTCGCAAGTTTGTAAGTCACTTGGAAATTTACCAAGAACTCTACAGCTCGGGTACTTTTTTTTTTTTTGAGACAAGGTCTTACCCTGTCACCCAGGCTGGAGTGCAATGGCACCATCTCGGCTCCTTGCAACCTCTGCCTCCCAGGTTCAGGCAATTCTCCTGCCTTAGCCTCCCAAGGAGCTGAGTTTACAGGCGCCCTTCACCATGCCCAGCTAATTTTTTATATCTTTAGTAGAGATAGGGTTTCAGCATGGTCTCAAACTCCTGTCCTCATGATCCTGGCCCACCTTGGCCTCCCAAAGTACTGGGATTACAGGCGTGAGGCACTGCGCCCACTCAGCTTGGGTACTTTTATTTAAGTTTGCTATACTTTCCTTTTTATTAATAATAAAAATGTACTTTTAAATGCATAGAGAACATTTAATTATGAGGAGGCTTTGCTATAGGTGGTGCCTCACTATTTTTCTAATCTGAGTTTTGCACCTTAATATGGGATCTTAATCTCTTTGAACCTGTTGAATAATAAGTAAAGGAAGAAGCTGCAATATAGTAAGCCACATCTAAGCTTTCTCCTATCTTTAAAACCTTTAATGAAGAAGGAAAAGATGCTCAATATAATTAATTAGGAAGATAAAAACCAAAACCACAAGAGGCCACTTGACACTCATCAAACTGACAGAAACTGAAAAATGAATTTTAAAAATGACGGGAACATAAAATCAAATCACAGTAACTCAGGGCATTATCTTTGTATAGCATGGATGTCATATCAGTGATTTGCAATTTTTTCCAGCATAGTTCTGTCTTAAATGATTAAAAGCAGGCTTTCTCCCTATTTTTACAATTAAAACAGAAACCCTTAGCAAATCAAAATGCTGAAGACATTTTCCACTAGATTTATTAGAAACAAGATTTGTTTAGTTGATAAAAATGACTACCACTGGATTATTTTTAATTCCGGGGAAATCAATCTCTTGGGAGAAAATTATCATTAAAAGCCAACATACAGACACATACAAGAAAGAAATACAATTAGATGGACTACAATTCTAGGTGCAAATACTCATGGAGATTTAACTGCATCAATATTCTTATTAGAATTGCTACTTTTTAAATGGAGGCTCTGGTTACAAAATTCTATAGGTTTTGAGAAAGCTGCAAAAGCACTATTTTACCAAAAACTCATGTTTATGTTTAGCATGCTATTTTGCAGGATACTAGAATCTCCAGGGGTGCACAAATGGAGTGATAATGAAATGCGTGTTTCTGTATAATACCTTTTAGAACTAACAACCTGAAAAGAATTTAATTCATGCACTACAGACTTTATTATTTTAAGTTATTCTGCAATGAGTCCTATTATCCTCATTTTACAGATAAAGAAACTAAGGACAAGACATTAAATAACCTGCCTAAGGTCACACAGCAGTGACAGATGCAAGACAAGAACTTAACAGCCCTTGAAAAGCAATCTTTCACAGACTCCTATAAGATAGTTACAAGAGAATAACATACAGCTTCTTTCAACATTTTGAAACCACTATCATCCATTAAATACAATTTCTGTATCTTCAGTGCTCCAACGACCCTCCAGAGGCAGGGAGTCAACCCCATTTGAGAATCTGATTCCATATAACCAAACACACACACACCTCTTTGACAGGCACTCCTCTACACCATCACCTTAAGGAACTAAAAATGGAATGTGATACCAGTTTCCCAGGGCGCACTAACTGACAAAGTCATAACAACAGGTGTTAGTAATCACACAAGCAAAAATCTAGAAAGTATCTGTGTCTTTTGCTGACAAGTACATGGAAACAAATCAACCTTTAATAACTACTTATTTCTAAACAGAAAGATTTTTAAAAAGGTAAGTAAGCATATCAACTATAAAATGAGTAGAGAAAATGAAGACTGGTACTTGTTTCATGACTAATAAGAAACAGGATGGGGGACAGTCCATAGAGAACCATAGCAAGCATCAACAGCAGCCCCAGCGATCCACAACCTCCACTCAGCACACTTCTGTGCCAGGCACCACTTGACATGCCCCACATATATGAGCTTTTAATTGACATCAGAAGCCTCTCAGGTAGATACTTACCCGTTCCCATTTTTAAAATGTGAAAACAGAGACATTAAGATGATAATTTGGCCAAGGACTCCCAGCTAGGAAGTGGTGACACCAATGAGGGTCCAAGTCCTACCTACTATGCACACACCCACAGAAACTACGTGGACCTTTCTTGTCATCGTAAAGCTGGACCCTCACAAAGGATGTACACATAGCAATACATTTATTACATACACAAAACTACATCAACTCTTGCCAAAAACAACAATGAACTAATGGAAATGACTGGTCTACATCAGGCAATTTCAAAGGGGTAAGCAGTCACTCTGGCTGACAGCAGCAGTAAGCGTTCTAGAAAATAAAACAAACAGTAGGCTGATGAAGAGGTTCCCTGTGTTCAATTTCAGAGATTGAAAATTCCTGAAAGATTCCACTAGTAGTCACAACTTGAGGACACACAACTTAGATTCCTAAAGATTCCACTAGTAATCAGAACTTGAGGACAAACAACCTTTCCAGCAGGCATTTCTCATTCTCATTAAAGCTTATAGACAACGAGGTCTTTGAAAGCATGCCTATTTTTACCTAGAAACAAAGTTATCCTAAAAGACGTTTTTCAAGAAACAAGTATTTGTTGTCAGCCACTTGTCTGCAGGCTTTCAAAACCAGAAGTGAACGCGACCACTGTACATGGGGCCGCAGTCTCTGGGTCCTCCCCGCTCCAGTCCACTCTCCGTCTTACCTGCCTGCTCTGTGCCTGGATTGTGTCCTCTAGGAGCAGCTGGCGCAGGCTGTCCTAAACTCTCACCTGAAGGGATAGAGACTACAGTATCACTCCCACAACAGCCCTCACTGGGCCCTAGGACACCACTTCAGACAAGGCCTGGGCAGGAACTGGTACTCCTTGGAGGAGAATGAACTCATTAATTCTTTAACCCTGCCCTGTAAATAGACCCTTCATTAAATTTCTTCAGTTAAAACTTTTTTGGCAGGGTGTGCTGGCTCACACCTGTAATCTCAGCACTTTGGGAGGCTGAGGCAGTTGGATTACCTGAGGCCAGGAGTTCAAAACCAGCCTGGCCAACACCGCGAAACTCTGTCTACTAAAAATATAAAAGTTAGCCAGGTGCAGTTGCACATGCCTGTAATCCAGGCTACTCAGGAAAGTGAAGCATGAGAATCACTTGGACGTGGGAGATAGAGACAGTAAGCTGAGATCGCACCACTGCACTCCAGAGCAGACTCTTAAAAAACAGTAACAACTTTCTGAGTGTGCTCTCTTTTCTCTTTCTTGCAGGAAGACATGAGACATTCATATCTTTAAAAAAAGAAAACAAAACCGGTATTGGTCAAGCAATGACATCCTATTCTTCCAAACACCACCAGTACAGCATGGCAGAAGGACTTACCATAGTAATTCCTGACCCACTCTTCTCAACTTCCAAGTGTTTCTCTCTGTGTCATGCAGCACACAGAGAAGCTGTCTTACACTTAAAACGTCAAAATAGAAATATGTGGCAAAATCTTCACATATGCAAACGTCACCGAAGACAGTATAAAAAGGAAGAGCTCGCTCACAAAAAACACTGAGACAACTGCAATTCATAACAAAAAAACAATAAACACCAGAGCCCTGTCTTACACCACAACCAAAACAAGTTGCATCAGAGCAGAAAGCAAGACAGCTGCCAAAGACGTCTGAAGCCACGTCAAATGGACACAGGAGCCAACCTGAAGAAATCCCAGGTGAACAAGCATCAGGCACTATAACCACCAATAAGATACTCAATTACAATGGATTCAACACAACCAACATTTAAACCTAGGTTTCAAAACAATTCAAAAACAAAACTCACCCCTGCAAGATGCTAGGGCTGACGTCCTAGCTTGAAACAGTAAACAACAGGAAAGGCTCAATCACTTACCCTGTCTTTTCCATATAATCTCTACCTCAGAAGAAGCAACTAGTTTACAGGCCACAGAAAAAGCAGACTTATCACCTCCTGAAGTTCACCAGCCCCCAAGTAGCTTCTGATGAGGAACACAGCCAACTTACAACACTGCCACACCCCAGCCCCTCCCCCAAGTTCACACCTGAATCCCATCCACTTCTAGATCTGTTAATTCACATAAAATATCAACGGTTAAGGGGCATGCTAAAAACACCTCAAGGAGTGCAATCAGCAGAAGGAAAAATTCTAGAAGACACACTACCTTGTTTCTTCAACAAAAATTGCATGGATCTAAAATAAGACGGAGGAGAGCCTGCATACGAAACAACACTTGAAAGACATACCCATCAATTACAATGTGGCCCCAATTCAAACTATAAAAAAATACACAGACACATATCCACACTGTGTAAGTGTACAGTATACGCATACATATATTTAAAATGTGTGTATACACATATACATATACATATATGCATCTACATAAGTATACACAGATATACAAAAATATAAGAGACAATCAGGGAAATGTAAACACTAAGATTTTTACATAATAGGGATCATAACATAATAATTTACATACAGTAACTATTGTGGCTGTATTTGTAAATTCTTGTAAAGCCATTTTAGAAAAATACATTCTGAAATTTTTTCAGATGAAATTGTGAAACTGTGATTTGAGGGAGTTGCAGAGAGTATGGATGAGAGACTGGCTATATGCTGGTAACTGGTGAACTGGAGGATGGCACACTGGGTTCATTGTACGAGAGTATTTTCACATATGCTTGAACTTGTTAGTAAGTTAAAAACTAATCAATTTAATCAATTTCAGGCAGCTTATGTATCTAACTATTAAAAAAATTACAACTTTCATAGACACATGCAGGAGACACCCAGAATACAAGGTAGGGAAGAATTTCTTAAGGACAAAAAGGACAAACCAATTTCCTGTGCTTCAGGAAGTGGGCACTCAGGAGGCCGCAATCATCTACCCTGACCACAAGGCACAGCCTGCAGCTAGTCACAATGGAACATCAGCAAACCAAAATAAATGGCCTGTACTCTTCAAAAATGTCAACGTCATAAAAGACAGGCTACAGAATTATTCCACATTAATAATGAAAGAAAAATGCAATGTATGATCCAAATCTCGAACCAGAACAAAGTTATTTTGAGGGGTATAAAGGACATTATTGGGACAACTGGAAACCATCTGAATAAACACTGTAGAATAAAAAACAGAACTGGGCAGAGCACACTAGATAACACCCGTAATCCCAGCACTCTGGGAGGCCAAGGCAGGAGCATCACTGAAAAAAATCTGAATAACCACTGTAGAATAAAAAATAGAACAGGTCAGGGCATGCTAGCTCATTCTTGTAATCCCAGCACTCTGGGAGCCAAGGCAGGAGCATGCTTGAGTCCAGGAGTTCCTGCTTGCTATGATCACACCATTATACTCCACCTGGGTAACAGAGAAACACCCTGTCTCCAAAACAACAACAACAAATCTCACATACATAGAATTAGATGTCTGTCAAACTTCCTGACTTTAAAAACTATACACTATTTATACAAGTGAAAGTTTCTGTTTTGAAGGAAATACATGCTGAACTATACTGAAGCATTCAGAAGTGGCATGACGCCTGCAACCTACTGTCGCATGGTACAGGAAAGAAAATTTTACATATACAGTATATCCATGTATGTAAAGAATTAGAATGACAACATGAATTGACAAAAAGCAGCTCATGAGTGTGAGAGAAGGTCAAGTGGGAGTTTCTGTATTATTCTTGCAACTTTCTTGGAAGTCTGAAAAGGGTTTCCAAATACATTTTTTCATGTTTTAATTAAAAGAAAGAATTAAAAACCATACAGAAAAAAGATCATACAGTTGACTGTATTCTATTCAAAAACCTAAAGCCTATTTTTTAAGGAAACATATGCCACAGACTGGGAGGAGACATTTACGAACAATAAAAATAAATTTCCCTAAAATAAATAAGCAAAAGACAACCCAAAAGAAAAACAAAGAGATATGAACAGACCATTCAAAGAGGAACTCCAAAGGATGAGTAAGCTACTAAAAGACCGATTCAATACTTGATTCTACTCACCACTGCAGTCTTTTAGACAAAACTAGCTTTAGTACTTCCTAGTAAGACCATCTATTTTCTAGGAAAGACTTCGTTTTTCAGCATTATTTGTTAGAACACACGCTGGCTGACTTTGTGCATCAGCTTGACGGGGATAAGAGGTGCCCAGCTACCAGACGAAACATTCTGTGAAAGTCCATGAGGGTGCTTCCAGAGCTGATTAGCAAGGATTCCAAAGACCGGGTCAAGAAATCCATCCTCACCCATGTGGGCAGACATTACCCAAAAAGTTGGAGTTGGGCAAATTCACCCTCTTCTTGAGCTGAGCTGTCTTCTGCCCTCAGACATGGGTGCTCCTGGTTCTCAGGCCTTAGGCTCAGACAGGGACTTCCATCACTGGCTCCCCTGGTTCTCAGGTCAATGGGCTGAGACTGGAACTATACCACTCTGCAGACCGTGTAACTTCTCAGTCTCCATAATCACATGAGCCAGTCTTTCCTAATGAATCTTTCTATATAGATTCTCTTGGTTCTGCTCCTCTGGAAAATCCTAAGACACTGCATGAGTCACTGAAGAGCAATCAGCTTTATGTGGACTGTAAGAGCCTCATAGTTTTCAAGGTAGATTATTCTTTAAAACTTGTACATGTGACACTGCTGTTTTCAAATTGACTGCAGCTTCAAAGTAATTGTTACACTTTCTCAATACAGTATTTAAGATGTTAAGAAAGTTGTAAAGAATCATCATTTCTCAGCCCCATCACCCAGATTAAGCCCACTGTGTATTTCTCCCAGAACACATCTGTAATCTCTATTAAAACTCCTTGCGAGAGGTAACCACTACATCCAACTGCCATCTATCTATATTACTATCATAATTGATTTTTACACTGTTTGCCTGTATTCCTAAACAGTTCATTTTCATCTATTCCTAAACAGGTATTTTCATCTTCACTAGTAACCAGGAAAATGCAAATCAAAATAGTGAAATACCATCCTACACATATTAGAATGAAAAAATGTTAAAGTGTAGCTAGACATTCAGTACACAGTAGAGCTGAAGAGAACTCTGGCACAAGCTACTCCAGCAATGGTTCTGGGTGTCCACAAAGTCAGTACCATTAACGTACAAAAGCGAAAAGCAGACCTACGTTCTGTTGGCAGCCCTGCATACAACACGGGCCTGGAATAGGAGCCCACTGCAGCCTTCTGCATGGAGAAGCTTCACTTTAGCCCAGGAGGGATGGCCCCACTCAAGAGAGAGCTTCAGGTAGTCAAGGTGCTGTGTTCAGTAAGGATCTCTCTGGAGCCAAGCATCAGAATCAGAGAAATGGGCACAGGCACTCAGGTGAAGCATACGGTATACGTACCTGTCCCAGTCCTCATCAGCAGCTCTTCTTCTCCAGGACCGTTCCGCACCAGGCTTATCAAACTGATCAAAGTCCTCATCTACGAGAAGAGTCCATTGAAATCAGTTTTACTGAGTTAAAACAGACACAATGCAAATAATCTGAACACTAAAACAATTTTTTTAAGATTTCCTGACTTGACATTTTAAATTACAAAAGTTTCACATATAACTATCATAAACACTTAGCCATTTTTAATAATGAAACACCTTTTAAAAAACAAAGTTATCCAAGAAAACCAACTTACTGAACATTATTAGGCATGAAAAATGACTAATGGAACAGTTTTTTTTTTTTTTTTGAAACTGAGGCTCAGAGAGATTAAATGAATCCTCCCAAAACACAGGGTTAGTATTTGGCAGGGGGGGGGGGGGGGGGGGGGAGACAAGAAATAGTTTAAAAAAAAAAAATCATAACTGTGAGTAAAACTGTGCGTTTTCTTTATAAAATGGGTTTTGAGTGTTTTTTTTACTGCATGAAAGAAAAAAAATGTGATATGCTAAAAGTTAGAGACTTTTATAACACTTTTTCTAATTGTCACACTTTTCCAAATCATGGAAAGCTAAGATTCTATTTAAGCAAAATACAGATAATGCAGAGAAGTGCCGAGCAAAAAAAATATAAGCACACACCTAATTCCAGGCCTTCTAGTAGTCACATTTTTAAAAGGTCAAGAGAAACAGATGAAATATCTTACACAGTATATCCCAAATATTATCATAGTTATCATATTATCATATCATAGTATATATGGCCAGGTGCAGTGGCTCACACCTGTAATCCCACCATTTTGGGAGGCAGAGGCAGGTGGGTGATTTGAGGTCAGGAGTTTGAGACCAGCCTGGCCAACACAGCAAAACCTCTTCTCTACTGAAAAATACAAAAATAAATTCGCCACCAGGCATGGAGGTGTGTGTCCATAGTCCTAGCTACTTGGGAGGCTGAGGCACAAGAATCGCTTGAACCCAGGAGGTGAAAGTTGCACTGAGCCAAGATCTCACGGATCCACTGCCTGGGGAAAGACTCTGTCTCAAAAAAAAAATGTGTGTGTGTGTGTGTGTGTGTGTGTGTGTGTGTATGTAAAATCATAGTGTATAATCAGTACAGAAAATATTAACAGCATGTTTTACATTTTTTCCATGCTAAGTGCTTATTTTGCACACACAGCACATCTCGCATCTCAATGTGGACAAGCCACATTCCAAGTGCTTGGTGCCATCTGTGGCGAGTGGCTACTGAGATGGACAGTGCAGAAAGAGCACCACGAGCACAGCCCTTCAGAGGCCTGTCTCTCCTCCGTAAAACGAAGTCATTATCTACTTCACAAATTTGCTGGGACATTACACTGACAACGTATAGTAAAATACAAGAACTGACAAATGGGTGGCACCTGACAAAGTCATCATTATTCCTAGTAAAGAACTGAAATTAAAGGTTTTCATTGCAGATATATACAAGCAAAGAGGTCTGAGAGACAGCACCACATAGCTCTCTCTCCCCAGAAAGAATCTACCTAGGGGCAGGTGGTTGGGGTAGGGAGGGCCAGATAGTATAAATACCTGTAAAGCCTCAGGAATTTTGCCAGCCTCCTGGAGCTGGAAATTAATCAATAAAGTTCTACCAAAGTAATATATCTCCTCTTACCAAACACTACTGATATAGTTTGAATATACGTCCTTGCCAAATCTCATGTTGAATTGTAATCCCCAATGTTGGAGGTGGGGCCTGATGGGAGGCGTTTGGGTCCCGGGGGAGATCCCACATTGTTTGGCGCTGAACTCACCATAGCCAGGCACCTCTCTGGAGAGCTGGTTGTTGTAAAGTGTGGAACCCCTACCCACCTCCACTCACTCTCTTGCTCCTTCTTTTGCCATGTGAGATTAAGTGCCTGCTCTGGCTTGGTGTTCCACCATGAGTAAAAGCTCCCTGAGGCCTCCCCAGAAACTGAGTGGACACTGACACCACGCTTGTACAGCCTACAGAACCATGAACCAATTAAACCTCTTCTTTATAAATTACCCAGTCTCCAGTATTTCTTTACAGCCAGGTGTGAACAGCCTAATACAACTACCAAACAGAATACGTACTTAAAAAAAAAAAGATCCAAGACTGAAAGACATTAAAGAATTAGTAGCCACGAGAAATTCCACTTCCAATATGACAGAATGAGGAGCTCCACTGGTCCTCTCCCTGTAAGCCTCGTGAAAACTGTTTTATAAAATAACCACTTAAAGTCTCTAAAAATAATTCTAAGGACATACAACAAATGAAAACATACTTATTCCAGAAATCTACCAAAATTTGGCAAGAATGGGTTTTGAACCAAGACGCATCCCCTCCTCATCCTCAAAACTCAGTAACACTAAGACTCCACTCAAGAGCAGTGCAGTCAAGAACACAGGATGCCTTCCACACCCAACTTCCAGGGGGAGGAAAAGGACCTCTGCATTTCTCATCCCACCCCCATCTACCTGCTGTTGAGGCTGAGTTCTCGGTGAGTGTGAGTGAGACGTGGGGGCTTTCTTCCACTCAGGTCCTATTCATGAGACAGACACTGCTGGGCCCAGAGAACCCCTGCCCTGCATCAAGGTATGGGGATCCCACACCAAGAAAGTCAAGTTGAAGACACTTGAGGCTGCTGCTTTCTCCCAGTTCCCAGGCACTCAGCTTCTAAAGCAAGGGTTACAATACACCACTGTCCACACCCATAGCACAAGTGCTGTGACTCAGACAGGTGACAGGTGAGGGAGCAGACATTTAGAACAAAGTACTCCAAAACTCTCCAAAGAAACTGACTTCAAGCCAAAGAATGCTCCCAAAAACAGTGAGGGAGGGTTCTGATGAGGGTTCTAATTGGGAAGACAGTGGTAAAAGCATCTGGAGATACAGTCAGAATGTAGATGAGCTGCTGTGTTGGAGAGAAATGGAGACACAGGCAGGTGGGGAGGGCCTCCACTTGGGTCAGAACAAATCTCAAACACTAACCATGAACACTATTCATTCAAAGGAGCCTGAATGTGTTTGGCTCAATCTATAAAGCAATTTATGCCCCTGGGCATTATGGAAGACAGTCAAAGCCATGACAATCACCCCAAGGTAACTGGGTATGCCGAAGGCCGTGGTCACCATGAAGCAGCTTCAGAAGCTTCAGGGGAGGGGTGAACACTTCATTAAAATAACCCAATCAGGCAACAAGGAGTAAAGAAGCAAATAACAGTAATAAGCCCAGGGTTGTGAGAGTAGGAAGACCAGCACCCAGAGTTGACACAACGTATTATCTAAAATGTCCAGATTTCAACAAAAAAATTACAAGAGGTCGAAGAAACAAGAAACTATAACCTATAATCCAACAACAACAAAAAGCTGGCAACTAAAACTGCATGTGAGAGGACCAGGCAACAGATTTAATAGAAAAAGATCTTTAAGTAGCCATTATAAATACATTCTAAGAATCAAATGAAACCATGATCAAAAAAACAAAAAAAAAAAAATATGACGACAGTGTCAGGTCAAATAAAGAACATAGAGGCCAGGCGCAGTGGTCACACCTGTAATCTCAGCACTTTGGGGGGCCAAGGCAGGTGGATTATTTGAGGTCAGGAGTTCAAGACCAGCCTGACCAACATGATAAAACCCTGTCTCTACTAAAAATATAAAAATTAGTTAGATGTGATGGCATACGCCAGTAATTCCAGCTATTCAGGAGGCTGAGGCAAGAGAATCACTTGAGCCCAGGAGGCAGAGGTTGCAGTGAGCTGAGATCACACCACTGCACTCCAGCCTGGGCCACAGAGCGAGACTCCATCAAAAAAAAAAAAAAAATACACACACACACACACACGAAACGACAAATTATTTTTAAAAATCAAATAGAAATTCTAAAATGGAAAAATAATTGAAATGAATTCATTAGACGGGCTCGATAGATGTGAACTGGAAGAAGAATTAGTAAACTTGAAAACAGATCAACAGAGAGGACATAATCCAAAGAACAGAAGAAAATAAAAACTGAACATAGCCTCAAAGAAATTTGGGGCCATCAGGAGACACAACAATACACATGTAATGGGAGCACCAGAAGTAGAGGATGCACAGGAGTAGGAAAAAAAAATACTCAAAGAAGTAATGGCCGAAAACTTCCAAAATGTACTGGAAACTATTTATGATACATCCAGAGAACTCAACAAACTCAAATGAGAATAAACTCAGTGATCCACAAAACACACAACATAGTCAAAATGTTCCAAAACCAGACACAGGAAAAACCTTGAAAGCACCAAGACCAAAATGACTCATTACCTACAATGGAACTGCAATAGTTAATTCTCATCAAAACAGAAGCAGCCAGAGGCAATAAGATGACCTATTCAAAATGCTCAGAGAGAGAGTCCTAAATTCACCAACATGATCTTTCAAAAATTAAGGTGAAATAAAGACATCCATAGATAAACAAAACTGGAAGAAATTTGTTGCTAGCAGAATTGCTGTAACTGGTTGAACTATGTGCCCCCCAAAACATGCTTAAGTCTTACCCTTCCTTGTGCCACCTGTGAATGTGATTTTATTAAGAAACGAGGCCGAGCATAGTGACTCATGCCTGTACTCCCAACACTTTGGGAAGCTAAGGTAGAGTCACTTGAGGCCAAGAGTTCAAAACCAGCCTGGGCAATATATCCGGATCCTCTATCTCTACAAAAAACTATAAAAATTAGCTGGGTGTGGTGGTGCACACCTGTAGTCTCAGCCATCCAGGAGGTTGCGGTGGGAGGATTGCGAGCCCAGGAAGCGGAGGCTGCAGTCAGCTATGACCGAGTCACTGCAGTCTAGCCTGGGCAACAGAGCAAGACCCTGCTCTGTCTCTAAAACTTAAAAGATATTTACAGATGTAATCGAGTTAAGATGAGATCACACTGGATATTAAACAGGGCACTAAACTCAATGATGACTGGGGTCTACATAAGGAGGGAGATTTCAGGACAAACAGACACACACAGAGGAGCAAGGTCATGTGAAGCCAAAGACTTGAGTTATGTTGCCATA